GAAGGGCCAGCAAACTTAATATTTAACCCGAGCTTTGACTGTTCCTTAAGGTGATCAGTTCACTGGGGAATTCTCAGGTCTCCCAGGAGGAGGAGGAATGGAAGCATCTCCCCAGCTCTCTGGGACCATGCACTGGTTCTGTGCAGAAGCGACCAGAACAGGGCAGTTTCCACATTGCAGAGGTGCCGTTCACGGTGGGCTGGTTTGAGCTTAAAGTTGGACGTTTCATGTTGGATGCGTGCTCTTTAGCCAGCGGTAGTGCAAAGGTTCACTTCCACAATCAAAACCTATTAAGGCCACGTTTGTACCGGCTTCATTGCCCCTCCCCCCACCACTGCCCTTTCCCCTCCTGCTATAGGACTTCCTCAGCATGAAAAATAACAAAGCCTAGAGTCTAAGTATGCTTTGAGTGCCCTCCAAATCTCCAACTCAAAACTGTGTTTGTGGAAAGGGGAGTCAGCCTATGGCTGTCTGTGTGGCGGATCTGCAAGGAGCAGGGATCAGGTTCATGGAGGCCAGCAACTGTGGATGATGCCGTACCGGACAGGTGTGATGCTTGTGCTGTCCACAGCCGCTGGGAGGGGACGGTCCCGCCACCTGGGCCAGCACCACAGCTCAGTGGGCCAGGTGTGGGCACCCAAACCTAGAGTAGCCCAACTCCAGAGTGGGCTGCTTCCTGCCCACTCGTAAACACCCCACCCCAACCAGAGCTCCCCACTCCAGGTAAAACCTCATCAGGAAAAGACTCTTGCACACCGCAGCAGAGCTCCCCACCAGCCACCTGATCCTTTCTCCTGACCCATGAACTGGGGGAGGTGGAGGATGATGCGTTGTCCATGTGAAGACCTTCCATCAGTCTTCTGGTTCGTATGCCTACTTCTCGCTCCCACCTTCGTTCATACCTGCTGCCCGAGTCCCTGAGCCTCACTGTTGGAAGACTGACTCCTGTTTCCCCCTTGGCCCCTGACCTCATATCACAGGCTGTAAATCTTCTTCCTGTTTCATCTGGAAACCTTCTACGATCAGCTTTCCATCTTCCAGAAATGTGCGGAAATCTCTCATCTGTGATTTTTACAACACCTTCCCTGTCTCTTTTTCTTTTCTTTTCTTTTCTTTTAACTTCAATACCTTGATTTCAGTGGGGTGGGGTCTCAAATAAAAAGAGAAGCAAACTGTGCCTGACCTGCCCTTTTGGACCAGAAGCCCATAGATCTCTCTTCAGCAATGTGAACTGGTCACCTCATGGAAAGCCGGCATCATTTACCCTGCTTTCCACATTTTGTTTAAACGGGGTATAAGTCATCCATGTTTTACTGCCTATGGTCAGAACTTTTTACAACGTTATAGAATGGGCCAAATCCATCATGCCAACACTGAGGACTTAAGATTTATTTCTGAGTAAATACTGCAGAAGAGTTCTATAACTGATTAATTATCCTTAATGAATAGTATCAACTCTTCCTTACATTTCTTCCCACCCCTCTCAGCAGTGAAGCCATAAAACCAAATGGAAAAGCGTGGACACTTTGCAAGGAGACAATAGCAATTATATGAGATTACTGCTGTCCAAATGTATCAGCAATAATTGATAGCACCATGGCTCTCTCAAGTTACTGATTAAGCATTAAAAATAGAAACATGGCTTGCCTGTGTTTCAAATGCTGTCCCATTTTTCCTCTGAATATAAATACTATCTTTCTGTTTATTCATAATAACCAGAACCTACACAGTATATCTCTCCTACATAATGGCTACTGATGTGTCGGGAATGGTGGACAATTATAGAGAGGTCCTGAGCAGGGGGAATAGATCTGGGAAGTCCCAGAAGCAGGGCACTTGAGTGGGGCTTTTAGAGGGGGGTGGTCCTTGGGCTGTGGTAAGCAGAGCACCTGCCTCACCTCCAGATGCCAGGCTAGTCCTGTTGCCAAGGAAAACATCACTCAGGACACATCTCCTGCTGAAAGTATCAACAACTACAGTTCTCTGCCAAAGGTTAATTTGCTCACCACAAGGAAGTTATTATTTTCCAGGAATGAAGCAGCCGGCTCTTGAGCTGGGTCTCATCTTCCATCTTCCTCACCAGCCACCACCACAGTCACTGCATAAAGAAGTCCTTTAGCTGGAGACGTGTGGCTGCCAAGATGCCTCCATAAGAGGGATTAGACCCCATTTTCAATGTCCCAATATTCCTGGGATTTTGCTAACCCCATGGGACAGAGAGATTCTTGTTTATTTCTAGAGATGATCTTAGGAGGCATTCGTCATGTGGGAAAACTTAGGTTTTTTGCTTATTACGGGAAACTTCTAATAAAATCAATATGGGTTTTTAGCATGTTTGATGGAAGCCAGGTCTCCAAATGTAGCTGATTTTAAGTGGATTCTCAAGAATGGAAAGAGCACAGGCTTTGGCATTACTGTTGCTGAAGCCAAGCGAGCTAGACAAGTCTGGGGAAACAAGGTTGGGGTCTAGAGTGGTCAGAAACATCTGCCCTGAGAGGTGGAACATGCGGAGCTCTGGATATATTTAAACCATGAGTCACATGGCTAGACTCTACTTGGGCAGAAGTAAAACATGTTTTCCTTTAAATGATTAAACTTAGTTGAACTTAGTTCAAGAAAAATGTCTTTTCCCTCTGAATGTCCCCCCACCCCCCACCCCCGGCCCAGGCTTAAAGAGTTTCAAGATGAGATTTCTTTTTTTTTTTTTTTTTAAAGATTCCATTCATTTATTTGAGACAGAGAGAATGAGAGAGAGAGCACATGAGAGGGGGGAGGGTCAGAGGGAGAAGCAGACTCCCTGCCGAGCAGGGAGCCCGATGCGGGACTCGATCCAGGGACGCCAGGATCATGACCTGAGCCGAAGGCAGTCGCCTAACCAACTGAGGCACCCAGGCGCCCTTTTTTTTTTTTTTTTTAAAGATTTATTTATTTATTTGAGAGAGAGAATGAGAGATAGAGAGCACAAGAGGGAAGAGGGTCAGAGGGAGAAGCAGACTCCCTGCTGAGCAGGGAGCCCGATTGGGACTCGATTCCGGGACTCCAGGATCATGACCTGAGCCGAAGGCAGTCGCTTAACTAACTCAGCCACCCAGGCGCCCGAGATTTGTTTTCTTAACGAGAAAACATATCAATAGCTTCCAAATTAGACACATCTGTAGACTTGGGACACCCAGATGACTTCAAATAATATATTTGGCCCATCTCCTACATCTGGATGGTTAAGACTGCATGTCAAAAAAAGAAAAAAAAAAGGAAGTTAGAAAGACTTCCTTGGTCCGTTGATAATAAAACTGAATGGAAATGGACTTGCATCCCATGTTTATTCCATTTTCTCCCACATAAAGTTTTTAATCCCTACTCCTGGAGTGATAAAACAGTAACATTTCAAGTCCACGGTTGGAAAAGTTTAGCCAACATTTCATCTGACCAACTGTTCTGCAACTCAGTCAGGATTCTGGTTAATGCCAAGTCCACATGGGTGAGTGAGACTCAGGGTGTTGGCACTGTCTTACTTTGGAAAAGTTGGGTTTTCTAAGTAAGCGGGGAAAAAGAGAGGAACAAGTCTAAGCACAACACAGGCAAGACCAACAATAACATCCCTGGAGTTGAAAGAAACAGCTTTGAGGAGCCTCCTGTCTTTACTTGGGGGTTAGTTCACTTAAAATAATAAACGTATTTCTTTTACTATCCAATGACCAAAAGCTAGAATTATGATTAGTACCTATTGGTATTTCCTTTGCTTTTTTTTCGGGGGGGGGATGCTTTCTCTGTTCCCTTTTTTTTAATAAATTTTCTTTCCTAATAGTGATTACTTTTTATGATGAGGGTTTTGGGTGAGGCGCAGCGTTGGGGCGCGGGGTCTCAGATGAGGCGGGCAGGGGGCGGGGGGACAGAAGGAGGGCCCGCCCCTTTCTGCTGCGGCGCCCGCCGGAAGGCTGGAGGGGCTGTCCTCGCGGAGGGTCGCCCCTTCCCTCCTGTCACGTTTAGGTCCCCCGGGCGCGGGAGGGAGAGGGGCGGCAATTTGAGGCTGGGGGGGGGCCACTGAGGTGTGAGACCCCGCACATTATCTTACTCAGTCCTCAGGTGTTTGTACCCCATCCGAGGAATGGGAGGCTCGGAGAGGCGACGTCGCCCACCGGCCGCCCAGCCCGATGCGGCAAGGCTGTGATATCACCTCCCTACTCTCATCACGTCCTCACGCAGTGTTTTCCATAAATGAGCAAAAAGCCCAGCCGAGTTCGCCCCAAGGTCGGTCGGCGCCCGGGGGGGGGGGTTCAGTTCCAGGCGGCGGGGACCTGGCTGACCCGAGGGTGGCGGAGCCAGAGCCCGGCAGGCGGGCCCGCAAGGGGGTCCCCACCCCAGGCGGGGAGGAGGAGACGGGGAAGAGACTGAGGAGGGGACGCTCCGCCCCAGTGTCGCCGACCCCTCACCCCAGTGTCCCGCACCCGGCTTTCACTCCCCGCACCACCTTCCACGGGCTGGGGCCGTGCCCCCGCCTCCCGGCCGCCCCTGGCCCTGGCCCTCGCCCCCGGGTCTGGACCCCTCCCCCCCCCGCCCTGGACAGCACCCCAAACCCCGGCCGCGCCCCCTCCCGCGTCCCCGCCCCCGGATCGCGTCCCCCCAGCCCATCTCTACCCCTCACCCTTCCGGCCCGGATCCGCACCCCTGCATCTCGTTAGCGCCCCCAACCACCACCGCCGGCCAAACCCGGGTCTGCATCCGCGTTCCCCTGGCCTCCCCTCCCTCTAGTGCCCTCGGCACCGCACCTCCCCCCCCCCGCCCAGGCCCGGATCCGCACCCCAACTCCTCGCCGCGCCGGGTCCCGCATCCCCGCCCCCGGATCGCGTCTCCCCCACCTCACACCCCCCCCACACTCCAGCCCCGGCCCGCACCCCAGCCCCCGGCCGCGCCCCCTCCCGCGTCCCCGCCCCGCCGCGCTCCCGCCCCGGGGCCGCGCTCGGGCGGCGAGACCTGCCTGCTGGGCGGGCGGCGGGGGCGCCATGGGCAGCGGCAGCAGCCGGAGCGGCCGGGCCCTGAGGCGGCTGCGCAGCCCCGACAGCCGGCCGGCGGGGCCCGGCGGGGCAGCCTCGGAGGGCGGGACGCGGCCTCTGGTCTCGGCGACGGCGGTGGCGGCCGCCCGGGAGGAGGCCCGGGAGGCGGAGGCTGCTGAGGGGGCGGCCGACCCCGACCCCGGCCCCGCGGACGGCGGGGACGAGACCCTGCGCCTGCTGGACCAGCTGCTGGCCGAGTCGGCGGCCTGGGGCCCGGGGGAGCTGGTCCCGCGGGGCCCGGCGCGGCCCAAACCCGCAGCCGCCGCCGGGAGCCGGGTGAGTGTGGGAGTCCGCGGAGCCGTTGGGGCCGCGCCCTGTCCCCCAGCCCTCTCCCCCCCCGCCCCCCCCCAGCCGCGTGCTTCCTCCCACCCGCCTCCGCGCCCCCGCCAGGCTCCCTGGGCCTGCGCGACGCCTGTCCCCCTCGGCCCCGAGTGTCACGCACCGTCTGTGTGTCTCCGAATGCCTCCGAGGTCTCCTGCTGCTCACGCGGCCTCCTTCTCTAACACCCCCTCTGATTTTCTCCCTGTCTGCCCCTTCTGGGTGCTGGTCTCGCTGCCTCGAGTTTGGGGTGACAGTGCTGGGCGCAGCCTGTAAGAGCAGGGGGCACACATCGCCTGGCAGAAGTGCATCTCCCGGGCTGGCTTTTGGCCAGAGCTCGCCTTTCTTTCCTTTTAGAGCTGTGTGTCCACCCTCACAGCACGGCATCCCAGACTCCTTCCCGCCTTAGGTGGGAGTTGGCCAGGGGTGCTGGCTATTCTCTCCAGAGGAAGCTGCGCAATGGTGGGACTGGTTGCCAAACAGTGGTTCACAAATGTGTCAGACACATCAAGAGCCTTGCCTTGCTAGTCAAGCAATTCACATGCTACTGGCTATTTTTAAGATGCTGTGGAATCTGTTTTTGGCTTCCCAATCCTCTCTTCCAGAACACTTGTAATAACAGTCCCGTTGTTCTAGAAAAACAATAAAAACAAGCACTCCGGTTTGGCAACAGTCTTCACTCCAGCAGAGCAGAATGAACGAGATCTTTACTATCAGCTCCTGGGCTTTGCTTAACTGCCAGGACCCAGGGAAGTGTCTTCTGGGGGCAGCCACCAAGCAGCAAAATCCAGAAACCACTGTGAGGGGTGGGGCGGAGAACTGGCTCAAATCAGACAGTGCAGAGTGCCTCATCTCCTGCCCCACCATCCTCCTGCCCGGCCCGTCCCCTGCTACCCTCCCAAAGTGAGCCACAGTGAGTAGGACTGAATTTGTTCACAAGATTCCTTCAAGACTACGTCACCATTCAGTTATATAACACTAAAAACGGATAAACAGTTGAGAAATTTGGGGGAAATTCTCAGCATGAAAGCAATCATCTAGTGTCCAAGTTTCAAGTGCCTTGGAAACCCTAGAAGTGAAAACGAGAGGAAAAGAAAAAGAACGGATTTCCCCTCGATGTCCTGAATATCAGTGACTCTCAGGGTGCAGGGCTGCCTTACTCACTCTCCCAGTCATTTCTATGAGCCCAGCACCCCTCTGGGTGCTAAAGCAAACACAGATGGCCCACGGTCCTTATCCAAAAGAAATCTACAGTTTAGTGGGGAGAGAGAGACCCTCAGACAAAAAACAGAATAGAGCGTGGTGAGAGACAGACCTGCACAGAGTCCACAAGAGGAGCGACCGATCCCCTGGAAAAGTCAGGGTGGCACTCCAGAAGGACAGCACTTGACCTGAATCTGGAAGGATCTGTGGCTTCAGCCAGGCAAACAAGCAGAGAAGAGCATTTGTGCAGAGAGAACCCCACGTGCCTGTGGGCAGAGGCGATGGGGTGGGGTCTACAGTGCACAGGCTGTGGGCGGGGAGAGCCTGGTTGAAGAGGCTGAGGGGTACGTGCCATGCTGTTGCAGGTCCTGCTGGGAGTTTCCCAGGTTGAGAAGTTTGGACTTTACCGTAAAAGCTGTGGCTGTCACTGAAGGGCCAGGGGGAGCCGTATTTTGTGTTTTAGGAAGATGACACCGACAGCTGTGGGAGGATGGACTGGGCCAAGTAAGCCTGGGGTCAGGATGGCCAGCTGGGGGCTGCTTCGGTGGTGTAGGTGAGCAGGTCCTGAGTGAAGCAGGACAGCCAGAGAGCCGAAGGGGAGATGGAGGTGCCTAGGAGGGAGAATTGGTCAGCCGTGGTGGTTCTTCTGGATGTGGATTGTATGTATCCTCTGTGCTATAAATATTTCTTGAGTGAATCCTAGAATCTTAGGATTATTAGATCTGTAAGAAAGCTCCTCGAGTCCAATTATTTTCAGGTGTGGGGAGATGAAGTGAAAAGGTCAGGGCTCCTAATTTCTTGACTGTAAAGGTCCCAGAAGGTTAACTGCCTGTACACTCAAGTGTGGGGTTTATGCTTTTTTGCTGTATAGATTACGTCCTTTGACTCTCTTGGCAGTTGTACATCTTGTAAGATTCTGAGTTGACAAGACATCATTGAGCTAGGAAAAAATTGGTATTTAGATGGATCAATATTTGACCCATCTAAATACCAAAGGGCCGACTTCTATGTATGGGTTGAAGTCGGCCCTTCTTCAAAATGTTAGAAATGATGTCCCCAAGGATAGAGCAAATGTTTGATTGAGCAAGTAAATAACACAATTTAAATTTCTTTCGGAGGGAAGGACGGAAACCTTCCTTAGGTTCTAAACTGTCTAGCAGTTTGGAGGAGAGAGGTATTCTTCATAAGACAATACCAAACTCAAGTGAAATTATCCCTTTAAGCACCCATGTTTAAAAATTTTAACGACTGGGCGCCTGGGTGGCTCAGTGGGTTAAGCGACTGCCTTCGGCTCAGGTCATGATCCTGGAGTCCCGGGATCGAGTCCCACATTGGGCTCCCTGCTTGGCGGGGAGTCTGCTTCTCCCTCTGACCATCTTCCCTCTCGTGCTCTCTGTCTCTCATTCTCTCTCTCTCAAATAAATACATAAAATCTTTAAAAAAAATAAAAATTTTAACTACTGTTGATTAGAATATCTTAGAGACTGGTTATGTGTATCTCTGAACCATCACCCTGAATATTATGGATTATACTCGACTATATTCAAGAATAGTTATAGCTAATATTTTAATGTGCACTTGGGTCTCAAACAAGCATTAACTCTTTTCATCTTTAACAGCATCGTCCATTTTTACAGGTGGGAAAGAGAAAAAAGGCACAGAGAGATTAAGCAACTTAACTAAAGCCACACAGTTATGGCAGAGCAGAGATCAGACTCTCTTATTATCAAAATGGCCCTAACAGCTGTGATGCTTGTTATTGCCTCTCTGCCTTGGTCCGTCTTTCCACTGTCACATTTTAGCCATTGTCAGTCTGTATGCAACCAAACAAGCTTCTCTGTATCTCCCGCCCTAGTGGACACCTCTCTGAGCTGCACTTGGCGGTTGGAATCTCATAGCCATGCCTGCTGATTCTGTGTTTCAAGGAAGAGCATGACCCTCTGAGGTCAGGCCTGGGAGAGGTTCTTCCCTGGCCTGAAGAATCATCTCTTCAGCCAGGGGGCTTTGTGGCAAATATTTCAATCAAATGTGCGTTTTTGTCTTGTTTCTTAATTATTGGTTGTTTTCCTATACAGTTAAGGTTGCTGGATAAGAATGAAGTATTGCCATATTCTAAAACTGGGATTTTTAAAATTAAGTTTTTTTTTTAAGATTTTATTTATTTGAGAGAGAGAGAGAGAATGAGAGATAGAGAGCACGAGAGGGAAGAGGGTCAGAGGGAGAAGCAGACTCCCTGCTGAGCAGGGAGCCCGATGTGGGACTCGATCCCGGGACTCCAGGATCATGACCTGAGCCGAAGGCAGTCGCTTAACCAACTGAGCCACTCAGGCGCCCCTAAAATTAAGTTTTAAGAAGTATTTACTTTTATTTATTTTTTATTTATTTACTTATTTATTTTAGAGAGGGAGAAAGATTGGGGGTGGGAGGGGCAGAGAGAAAGAGGCCTAAGCGGGCTCCAGAGCCTGATGCAGGGCTCAATCTCACAACCCTGAGATCATGACCTGCAATCAAGTGTTGGACACTTAATCAACTGAGCCACCCAGGTGCCCCTTTTAAGGGGTATTTAAATCAATTACATCTCTCTCCCTCTCTCTCTCTCTCTATATATAGGTACATATGAGAAATGTGTATCTACGTATAGGGGCTACTTCAGTGGTCCTAGTGGCATTATGTTGATATCACTGAAATTATAATAATCTGCTTTGGATTTTTATACTTCAACTATTTCATAAACAGCTTTTTATATTGCTGCATAGTATTCTTAATTATTTTAATAAATGCAAAATATCCATCAAATTCATGTACCATGAATTAAACCATCTCCTATTACTGTCCTGGATTAATTTCTAACTTTGTGCCTTGCATTATTAGGTGTGCAGAGCAGAATTTTTTTCCCAAAGCCAGTGGAACTTTAAAATCAACAGTATCTTAGTGGGATATTGAAACTGTAAACTATTTTGGATGGAAAAATTATGTGAGAAAAGCTAATCGTTTGGGCTTGGGTTTTATTAAGTTATTTGATCAAATTATAGTTTTTTAACAATGCAGCAGTATCTCTGCCACTCAGCGCTGTATTACCTGGGAAAATTACCGTCTGTTATTGATCCATGCATTTAGTGTATATTTTAGAGCACCTGCATGTGCCAGGTACTGTTGTAGGTGCTCCGTATACATCGGTGAACCAAATGGACAAAACCTCTGCTGCCATTCTGATCATCTTAAGTTCAACAGTGAACAAAATAAAGCATAAAGAACAATAAAGCAGGGGTGCCTGGGTGGCTTAGTCAGTTAAGTGTCTGACTCTTGATTTCGGCTCAGGTCATGATCTCAGGGTCATGGGATCGAGCCCTGCGTCGGACTCCACACTCAGTGTGGAGTCGGCTTGGGATTCTCTCTGCCCCACTCCCTCTGCCCCTCCCCCCAGTCTCTCTCTCTCAAATAAAAAAATATATATATTTAAAAAAAAGAACAACAGAGCAGCAGGGTCTGGGGAGAACAGGAGTGGATCTAGGTTGTCATTTTTAATAGGTGGGCAGGGAAGGTGTCACTGAGGAGGCAGGACTTGGGCAAAGCCTTGAAGGAGGTGAGGGCTGCCGCGCTTCTGTGGGAACCGGTGTCCCAAGCCAAGGGGTCAGCCAGTCACAGGTCCTCGGGTAGAGCCTGGAGGGTCTACTCAAAGAGCAGCAGGTTGGGCATTGTGGCTGGAGTGGAGAGGGCAAGGTCAGGGTAGTGGAGACAGGATGGTGGCCAGGATG